CTTTCACCACCTGGACTAAGTGTCCCAGATGGTGGGTGTTTATGGGACTTACTCAAAGTGGAAGATTTGGGCTGCAGCTGTCTTTTATTTCCCCATTCCTGGAGGGGTCAGGAGGTGTGGACAGACAGCCCTTGCAGGGAAAGCATGTTAGCATCTGAGCTAGTCTTGCTGTTCCAGTCCTTAAGCCCTGAAAGAGGCTTCCCATCTCCATCTGCTATCTAATCTATCTTCCTTTGGGGGTCGCACCTCCTCCCAGAGAGAGGCAGGTTATATCCAAAAGTGTGATTGCATTGCTCTTCTCGCTTTTCTTCCCACCATGATAAGTAATAAAACTTTCCACTGAGCTTCTTGGCCAAGGTGAAACGCCTTTTCTCTGGGTAGGGCTCTCTCTCTGGGTTTTGGTGAGACTGCGTCAGAGGCCGGTGCCTTGGGAGGGGAGGCTGAGTAAGGCCCAGAGCTTTGGCTGTGGGCTTGTTATGATTGGATTGTGTGCTGGGTGGGTCAGACCGTTGCCTCCCTTCCTGAACACCCCTGTGGCCTTGCCACCACCTGAGACATTGTGTTCTCTGCTCTCGGAACTAAAAATACCCCTGTGCACCTTTTGAGGAGGCTGGCCTGGTGTGGGGGCTGCGGGTGACTCTGTTGCTAACCCCAGAGCTGAGTCTTCAGTGTACCTCTGACTGGCAGAACCCACATCATTAGCATGGGGCCCTGACCAGCTGAGCTCATCAGCCACAGGACTGCAAAGTGTGGTCCCGTGGCACTGGCTGAAATGAGTAAACTAACCTCTGGAAGGCTGTGGTGAGCAGTGTTCCTGCCAGCATCTTATTGAAACCACACACCTAATAGGAATCTCATGTGCTAACCAGACTCTTATGCTCCCTCAGTGCATATCTAAGAAGGACTGAAATCTGCTTTGTGAAGGCCTGCTGGCCTTTGCCCCCAGGAAATGCAGGCTAGAAGGTGGTTGTTTTGTCTCTGGGATGGTTTTGGTTTTTCTCTTTGGGGAGATATATACATATAAATATATATATATTTTTTTAGTAGCAGCTGCAATTGATTATATAGTATATAATAAATTATGCCACGCACAAGGATTATTGATTGACTCTTTTTATTTATTTCTCAAACAATGCCCCCACTGAGTGGTTTCTGGGCAGCCGTACAAAAATAGTTCATAGACAGCAAAGTCTGGTAACGTTGCCAGCAGGAGTCCTCACCAAGGCTTTACCCTTTCACCCTTCCCTCTGGAGGTGAGCTAACGAGGGAGCCACACCCTCCTGTCACTTGGTGCCTGCAGCTCAGAGCAAGCTGATGGGAGAGAAGGATGGCAGGGTCGCGGGCATTGCCAGCCGGCTCTTCCTGGGGCTAGGTCCTTACTCCCGATGAAGATTTGCAGAACCGAAGGGTGAAGTTTCCCGCAGGGGTGCTGAGTTCAGCCTTGGAAACACGCCAGCTCAGTCCGTTAGTCTCCTTGAACCCATCCTTTGGGTGAGAGGCAGTGGGTTCTACCGCAGATGTCCACCTTCATGGCTTGGGGCCTGTGCCTTGACCATGCTAAACTCTCTGAGCTTTCACAACACAAGTCAAGTTGTAAGAGACCCCGGTGAGTGGAAAGCAGGCAGTAGGCAGCGAGATGGGAAATGACTCCGTTCCATCTGCACTGGCAAAGCAGCCTTCGTTCATGAGGGGATGAGTGGTACAAGTACACACCTTTGAAAACAGCAGCTTTTCATGTTCGTTGCGTGCTAACTTCTTGTCACCTGTTAGTCATAACTACCAGGTTAAGCCCAAAGACTTGGGGAAGCGTATCCATCCCCCTATATCTACCCACTCAACATTTGTTCACTTACCCAGTATTTATGGGACACTCGCTGTATGCTCGGGGCCATGTTAGACTCTGGGCCTACGTTATTGTAATTTGAACAAGACAGGATATTAGCCTGCGGAGGGGGGCTGTCAAGCAGAGGGTCCGTTCGGTGTTGACACGGGGAGCAGCGGGCAGGTGGCCATCCTTCAGTCTGGGGCAGGAAGCACTGCGTCCCGTTAGGAAGGCTGCTGCATTCACTCTTCAGCTGAATCCAAATAACCACAAAAATATAGTTTCTTTCTTACTGTTTGTTAGACTTTTAAAAGTTTCTTCTCTTCTCTCACCTGCCTTTTCGTCTTCTATTAGAAACAGAAGAGCCTGGAGTGAGGCAAGTGAAGGGGGTCAGGACAGTCCTGGGCCTTGGCAGAGTTCACCCAGTCTGTCTTATTCTCAAGCTTTGGGTGGCTTACACTTTGACACCCTTTACTTTATTATTTTTAAAGATTTATTTATTTTGGAGTGCAGGAGTTTGGGGAGGGGGAGAGAGAAAGAGGCAGAGAGAAGAGAGAGAGAGAAGCAGAAACAGACTCTGCACTGAGCCCAGAGCCCAGTATGGGGGCTCAATTTCATGACCCTGAGATCACGACAAGCACTTTTGGAATAGAAATAGGTGGAACAGGGCTGTTTTAGGCCTTTGCACATGAAAATGGCCTTTGAGCCCTCCCCCTCCTCTTCCTCCTCAGAGAAGCAGGCCACCCATGGGGCTGCTTGCTGGTGGGCAATGTTCCTCTCCTATTTCCAGCTGATTCTGCCAGTTTCAGATGCATGTGGAGGGTTAGTGGTTGGAGGAGGTGTGTCCTAAAGGCTGTACTGATAGCGGGGACTGTCCTTCTCTGATGCCAGTCAGAGAACAAGGCATGGATGACTGATCATTCTGTCAGGAGTTTAGTGGGGTTCTTATTTATATAACTTAAAAAAAAAATTGGTGATCGTTTTTGCCTATTTTACATCTTTTCCTTTATATCACCTGTCTGCCATGGATGTGTGTGGTAGAGCTGCCTCTCCCTGCCTGGGAGAAGGAGTAGGTGATACGAGGGATAGTGGAGCGTGTGCAGGTAACATGAGAGCCTTGTGTACGCCATCTTGGAACAGTACCAAGTGTCGTCTGCCTGTCCTTTTGAGCAGGAGGAAGGCCATGAGGGATGAGAATTGGGACAGAGTTGTGTGCCCCTAAGGTAGCTTTGGTGAGCACAAATTCGTCAGAGAATCTTGTTCTGCTTTTTCCATATTGAAGTCCCTTAGTCTGTGGTTAAGTCTCCAAATGAAAGCTGAACACATAGGCTTCTTCCACATGGATCAAATCATGCTTAATAAAAACGTGGCTGTGTGTGTGTGTGTGTGTGTGTAGCCCATGGAAAAGGATCTCTGGTGGTCAATCCTCTAGATCCTGTTGGAAAACCCTTTTTTTTTTTTTTTTCCTCCCCATTTGTTAAAATCAGTAAAATGGTCTTTGGCAACGTTGTTTCTTATAATTGGACTCTGCCCAGAGATGAGTGTTTGGGGGAAAATTTGAAGCAAATTTATGTGACTGTTTTCTGTGGGCAGTAGGATGGAAAAATAGTAAAACAGAACTGCAGATCTCTCTGATTTTCTTGGAACTTAAAAGTGGCTGACCTAGTCGCTCATATAAAATGTTCTCTCTTGGGCTGGAGTGTAGGTTTGGGAAAGAATTGTATTTAGACAATATTTTGGAAGAGTTAGCATCTAAAGATGGGATTTACAGCTCCTGGTCCACATCTGTGTTTGCCTTAAAGAATTCTTGTTTTCACAAGAAGACCTCAATTCAAGCATTCCCCACTTTTTAACTCTGTATATTCCTGGAAATATATATATATATTTTAAGATTTTATTTATTTGGCAGAGATCACAAGCGGGCAGAGAGAGAGAGGAAGGGAAGCAGGCTCCCCGCTGAGCAGAGAGCCCAATATGGGGCTCGATCCCAGGACCCTGGGATCGTGACCTGAGTCGAAGGCAGAGGCCCCAACCCACTGAGCCACCCAGGTGCCCCCTGGAAACATTTTTAAGTGCACACCGAAAAGACTCATCGTATTTCCCCATAGGAATAATAACTAGAATTTGTAATGTCCTTCCTATGTATGCAGATACTGTTGTAAGGATTTTACGTGCATTAACGATCCTCACAGCAAGCTCATGAAATAGATACTGTTATCCTAATTTGACATATGAAAAAACTGAGGCACAGGGGGATTAAGTAACTTGCCTGGGGGCCACACAGCTAGTTAATGGGGACACCAGGATTTATTTTAGGCAGTTAGACTTCAAAGCTTGAATAATTAAACCACTATAATATGTGGTTAATATGTATCTATAAAAAATATTAAAACATTATTGTGGCTTTTAAGTAAAGATTTACCATCCAGATATGACCAAGAATATATCATAAGAGCAAAGACATGTTTAATTATTTATTCAATGTCAATAATTACAAAACTTGATAATTGGGGAGAAAAATATTCTGATTCTGCTAAAATGGGAATGAACTTGTCCATCAGATTGATTATGCAAAGGCCTCAATATTGTATAAAGCAGGTAAGATACACTTTTTCTGTGACATCAGTTTGATTGTGAATGATATGCTAGTAAAAATGTACCAAAATATTTTCATTTAAATCTCTGGTTTAGAGTTTAGAAAGCCGTTTGTGAATTTGAATGGCCCAGTTGTCTCAGTGAGACTCCTGAGAAAACGTGCACCAGCATTTTCTTTTACCTTCACTTCTGCAGGATAGTGTATGTAGGGGCTAGTGTTCCAGATTAGTAGTTTTTCTACCGGTTTTCTCGCTTCCATAGGTCTGCTGAAAAGTCAGTCAAGTATCTTGTTGGGGGAATCCAGTGGTCTGGGTGGCTTTGGCTGAAGGCCCGAAAGTGGTTCCTTCTTTCTGGGTGGATCTGGTGGAGTTCTGGGGTTTATGTGGAAGGTCCCTCGGAATCCTGTTTGTCTGTGTTGCACTAAATCCCCTGGACGGTGAGAATAGTTTCGTTAATGGATCACTAGTATTATGCTCTTATATGTAAAACCTTTAATAGTAATACCCATATAGCTCATTCTTTTGTCTTTTCCTCCCTGGCCCTCTCCTTCCTTCTCTCTCCCTGGATCTCTCCCTGTCTGCAGCACAGACCCTGGATCCTGGGGGCTTATGGAATATGGGCCTCCTGGTGTGTGCTGGGGGCCCATGGCACGGCCATTATTTTTCTCCACACCCTCATCTCCTTCTGTGTAGCCCAGTTCCGGTCGCTGGTCCTCACATGGCTCTGTTCTCTCCTCCTGCTCTCCACACTGAGGCTGCAAGATGTGGAGGAAGTTAAGGTAAGTGTCGCCGTTTTACCCTTGGAAGGAGATGCTGTCTTTGGCAGAGCTTCCATTAGGGAGATGCCTTGTTTTTAGCCAGGAGTCAATTGACGAAGCAGGGTGGGGGTCCCCCTAGTGGCCATGTGGGGTTGGTACATGTGAGTCCTGGTGTGTTGCCTTTTGCAGTCTTGTCTTTTGGATCTATGTCCTAGCCATCTAAGGCTGCCCAGGGTGGACCTTGTACTTTTTCCAGTTTAATAGGCATGGGTGGTGCCAGATGTTGCAGGAACAGAGGGTAAGGAACACTGGGAAAAGAAAACAATAGTCTTCTCTGCATTTAACAAAAAATCTCTGTAGAGTGCTCTACAATTTGTAGGAAAATTTCACATTCCTTATCTCATCCAATGCCCACGATGGCCCCTGAGACAGATAAGGCAGGTGTTTTCCTGGCCCAGAAAAATCTTAGGAAGTTTTGATATTCTTTCTTTAGTCATCATGGAACTGAAATTCTGCAGTGTCTTTATTTTAGTTCACTTATACATTTGCTCATGCATTCATTCAAGTGACAGCACTTGCAAGGTCATGGGAAAGAACATGATGGGAAAGCTGAGCCAGTGGAGGACCTGGTTCCTCTGCTCTTCGAGTGACTGTCTTTCTACTTGTGAGACTGGGGACAGTCCTTTAACCTGAGTCTCAATTATATCATTTCGAAAATGGAAGTAATAGGTGCTCTGTGTTCCTCAGAGAGTTGTTCTGAGGCTCTAATAAGATGATATCTGTTAAGTGATTTTGTAAAAATGGTAGGCTTTTGAAAATTCAGTTATTTTTTCTGTTATATTATCTTAGTTTTTCTTCACTCTCACCAACAGATTGGGGCTAACACTCTAAGCACATATGTTAAAATCTGGGCTTAAGAGAGAAAGTAGGGTAAAAGCTTCAATGGTTTGTTTGGGGATAGTTAGTATCAGTTGTGGGTGTTGGTGGTGAATGAATAGTCCATTTATTGTGCAGACTAGAGATTTGAGAAATACTGCCCGAGGGGAACAAATGACCAGAAACTTGTTGCTTTGGGTTTTCATGCTTTTGCACACATCGTTCTCTTAGTCTTTCTTGGTGGCTGCTACAGTCCCGGGCATGGAACAGAAACTCTTCAGTGCTTAATTTTTCTGTGGAAAGCCCTAAAAGTGTCCCCATGTATCACATACACCATTCCTCCCTTTGTCCCAGTTTTCTATCTTGTATTCCCATAAATTGTTCTTTTCATTAAAAAAGCAATACATAAGTATTATGGAAAATATAGAAGCATGATGATTATAAAATGAACCATAATTTTATTCCTGGTTATACTGTTTAGATTTTACCACATACATTTTTAGTACATGCTTGTTATTTCTTTTTTCATGTTGCATTGTGTACTTCCATGCCTATCTCCTTTACGAGAATTTAGATACATGGTGGGCAGGGACTGTTTTTCTTTTCTTTTTCTTCTTTTTTTAAAAATAATTTTAAAAATTAAAAAAATACATATAATGTATTATTAGCCCCAGGGTACAGGTCTGTGAATCGCCAGGTTTACACACTTCACAGCACTCACCATAGCACATACCCTCCCCAATGTCTATGACCCTACCACCCTCTCCCTACCCCACTGCCCCTGGCAACCCTCAGTTTGTTTTGTGAGATTAAGAGTCTCTTATGGTTTGCCTCCCTCCCGATCCCATCTTGTTTCATTTGTTCTTTTCCTACCCCCAAAGCCCCCATGTTGCATCTCCACTTCCTCATATTAGGGAGATCATATGATAGTTGTCTTTATCCGATTGACTTATTTTGTTAAGTATGATACCCTCTAGTTCCAAGGGACTGTTTTTCTTGACTGTGTTTCTAAATCTTCTTTGGCAAATAGTCCTCACCTACATGTGGAGCCAAATGAGTAATAGAAGAACAAAAGGAAAAATACGTTGAAGGCAGGAATCCCCTATGACATTTGTAAGCCTCTGTCTGCCTTCTGAATTGCTGGAGGAACTGTCAAAGTCCCCACTGGCTGTATTCACCTGCATGTCAAGATGAATCCGAGAGCTGTGTCTCTGGGAGAACTTTCATTGTAGTGCATCAGGCCTAATGCTACATGGATGGATGGTGGTAGAGATACTCCTCCACCCAGTGCTCATTAACTCCTTGCTCCAGTCACCAGGGAAATTTACCTGCTGCCTCTTTAAGGGACAGTTGGTCTACCTGTGGAACTGATCTCCTTCCCAGGGGCCTAGATGCTGTCCTTCTTTGACGCTCAAGGGTTGTTCTCTTTTGGGACTTTGCAGAGAGGCTGGTACCAGACAGAAAATGAGTACTACTTGCTGCAGTTCACGCTGACCGTGCGCTGTCTGTATTATACCAGCTTCAGCCTGGAGCTCTGTTGGCAGGAGGTGCCCTGCGGGAGCAGCTTCTACTCCTTTCCCTGGCTGGTGGCCTATGTCTTCTACTACCCCGTCTTCCACAACGGGCCCATCCTCAGCTTCCCGGAGTTCATCGCCAAGGTAGGGCCCCCTGGGGACTGGGCTGATATTCTGTAGATCAAACCTCTGTCCTTATTCATCATGGCCATCCAGGAGACACTGCATTCTGGGGGGGGGTCCCACAGATTGAAAACACGTGATTGTCGTGACTGCTTACATAGTAAATGAAATACTTAGGGGGAGTATGTATTTGAAATGAAGGTTGACCTGTCTCTTGGGCCTGTTGGGTCAAGGAACCCTCCCCCCCACCCCCGACTCTTCAGTGGTCTCTGGCAACCAGGATTAGTAACTGGGCACAGCAGGGAACTTAAGAGTAGATATCCACTGCTGGGAGGTCCCGGGGAAAGAAAAAATTGGATTCTGATGGTATTACTTGGAAAAGTAGAAAGGGAAACTGTCTAAGCTGTTGGTTGGCAAATACCATGTTGTTTTTTATTGTCACAAACTGCTAATGAAATAACTCTGTCATTGCCTGGGAACTGCTTAGGGTGACTAGGTAAGACAGCAGAGTGGAGTTAGAGTTGGACACTAGTGGTGTGTTTTGGGCTCCCATTGCCTGCTTCTGCCCAGGACCCAGCTTCTCTGCAGCCTTGTCTGAACCTCCTGTCAAGCTGCCTTCATCATTCCCACCTCCTTCTCCCTCCTACTTAGAATTTTCCTTCTCATGCTGTAGCCAGCCTAATGGAACATGTTTAGGAAGTCAATTAAGGTTTAGTAATCGATCATACCTAAAAGCTATGTTTCTTGAAGGACAGTTCTACCTCCCACCAGAAAAACAAAACAGTCTCGATGGAGGTGGGAATAACAATGCAGGTGCACACACGTATGTGCACACACAGCACAGCCTTTGTGCACATAGAACATAGCACATGCCTGTGCACAGTGCACACATGCACACACATGCACAAACGCACACACACATACATACACACGCCTGGGATGAGTTCCACGTGCAGGGCCAACAGTACTGATACGTATTTCCAAAACGCAATGTAGAAGATGCCCCCTGGAAAAGTAACAGGGTTCTTAGAAATCCCATGTTCTGTCTTAAAAATCCCACACAGGTTTTCATTATACTCAAAAGTGTATTTCATTATACATTTTTATATTGTGTATTTATCTATACATTATACACTTGTATATTTCATATACACATTATAACAATAATGTGCAGTTTAAGAATTGCCGATTAAATTATTTAACTCTTTTATCCTCCATAAATCTTCAAGTGAAATTGATATTCTAGGCAGATATGTGTTTAGCATATGGTTTCTCATACCTCGGTTTGGGTTACGTATGATCATTCTTCTGTCCTGAAGTAACTTGAAGTTTACGTTTGAAAATTATGTTAAAAATTATTGTGTGAAAGACAGGTGGTTAGCCATGGCAGCTGATGTTCTCACAGTGTGGCCTTAGGAGCAGCAGCAGCAGGATCATCTGGGAACTTGTTAGAAACGCAAATTCTTGGGCCCCCACCTCAGATCTGGTTCAGACACTCTGGGGTGGGGCCCAGCAATTGATTTTAATAGGCCTTCCAGGTGATTCTGCTGCCAGCTCAAGGTTGAGAACCACAGTTTTGAGTTCCCCGGCAGAGTCGGGGGTGGAGGCTGGGGGTGACCAGGTTTCTTCCTGTAGGGACTCAGGTGTGGAGACGCTGGTTGCAGCTGTATCTTACCCCTCTCTTTTTCACTCCTTTTAAAATGGGAGCACTTGCTAAAAGCAGAGAACTCACAAGGCAAATTGGAACCTTTCTCTGTGGTCTGGGAAGATTCATAGGAAAGTCAGTCTAGAAAAGGCAAAATGTTTAGTACACTGCAGAGCAAATAAAGACAGCCATTAGGGTTCTGCAGGTATAGACAGTCCTAATGGGGCACTGACCCCCTGTGAGAAAAATGGGTCTTGAAGGGGAGCGATTAGCTAAGAAGATAAGCTGGTAGTGAAAGAATTACTTCTTGGAGGCCACGAAGGAAGAGGCTGCTAGGAGGGGAAGAAAGCCAACTGGAAGAACTTGTAAGCACATTTGCTCTGAACGAGTCTGTGAGTGAATGAATGAATGTAACATGAAGTGACAATACTGACATTCACAGTTCTTAGGTTGTCAGATCAAGGAGAGCCCCAGAATGAGACTCTGCCACCAGGGGGCAGCAGAGCCCCACCATGGAAACCAACCAGAAGACCAAACTGGTTGATAAGATAACAGTATTAGGCACACTGTGGGGAAAATGTGTCTTTCACTCAAGTTTTTTAGTATGTAAATAGCATCCACAAGATGAGGGAAGCAAAGAAGAGGTGTCCTCTGTGAAGTAAGGCATGTGAAATTTGCACGTTGATCATGAACAGGTATGAATTTGCCTGTTAAAAGGCCACAGTGCCTTAGCTTGAAGGCCATCTCAGACAGCATTTGGAGTTTGAGGAACACGTGCCCCGTTTTTTCGTTTTTGTTTTATATTTTATTTATTTATTTGACAGACAGAGATCACAAGTAGGCAGAGAGGCAGGCAGAGAGAGGAGGAAGCGGGCTCCTCGGTGAGCAGAGAGCCCGATACCGGGCTCCATCCCAGGACCCTGGGATCATGACCTGAGCTGAAGGCAGAAGTTTTAACCCACTGAGCCACCCAGGCGCCCTGCCCCATTTATTTTTCTCCCGTGGTCTGTGGAACTCAGAAACTCTGGTCCCGTGGTCTGTGGAACTCAGCTAGGACTGAGGCTAGAGGACAGGCTGGCTGGGGGCAGGTTTAATCAGCAGAGGCACTTACATACAAGGCTTGTTTATTCGCTTAGCCTAGAGCCTGGGGTCCCCACTTCTTCCTCTGAGCAGGCTGAATTGTGCAGTGGGGGCTGGTGTGGGGGAGGATGGTGAGGCAGAGTGTGGTAGACCAGGTACCCTCACTGAGGGCTGTGCTCCCACCCCCAGTGGACAAGCCAGTGCTCAGAGTTATCTTGCCTGGTGGCTAAGGGCAAAGGCCCTGGAGCCCAACCCTGTTGTCAGGGTTTGAATTCCTGCTTTGTTCTGGCTTGAGAGCGTTTGGTGAATTACTTACCTTATTTGTTTTTGTTTTTTTTTTAAAGATTTTATTTATATATTTGACAGACAGATCACAAGTAGGCAGAGAGGCAGGCAGAGAGAGAGAGAGGAGGAAGCAGGCTCCCTGCTGAGCAGAGAGCCCATGTGGGGCTCGATCCCAGGACCCTGAGATGATGACCTGAGCAGAAGGCAGAGGCTTTAACCCACTGAGCCAGCAAGGCGCCCCTATTTACCTTATTTATGACTCTTGTTACCTTATCAGTGAAATGGGAAGAATAATAGTACCTCCAGTCACAGGATTGTTACGGGGATTAAGTGATTTCCTAAAGGTAATGTAGCTTCACATGTAAATGCTGTGAGGTGTTAATGATTACTGCTACTGTTGTTTGCCGGAAGCTGCTGGCAATTCTGGGGAAGCTGTTGGAGGAGGTCATGAGCCTCTGACTGCTGGTTGACCCACAGGCTGAACCCAGGCAATCAGAGGCTCCTCATGCCTTCCTGTCCTTAGAGTGTGCATTCCACCTGCTGTTCCCCACTAGGAGCTATTTCAAGGACACAGACTTGAGAGAATAAGGTGTCACTGAGAACCTCTGGACTGAATATGTGATCGAACCCAGTTAAGGCCCCTATATAAACTTTTAAGATTGGGTAGGCAGGGGTGGAGATTTGCAGCTACTCGAGACCGGCCTCGTATGTAAGCTCCTCTGCTCATTACACCTGCCACCTACCAATCCGGAGCTCTCTGCATCTTCGTTTTCTCCCTGCCCTCCCCATAGAGGGGCCAGTTTCTGATTTTACCCCAGGAAGCTCCCGAGGTTGTGAACTAACATAGGTTTAGGCCAGAACCAAGACCCAGGGCGTCCCGTCACATCAGTGGGCACGGCAGCACGGGATCCTGGGCAGTGGCCATTCTTGGCCTTAGAAGGGGCCAGTGTGTCAATTCTGTCTCTTCAGGAGAGAGAAGCAGGTGGTCGCTGCAGGTGTCAGGGTAGGCCCAGCCCTTGAGTGTCTAGGGTCGGTAAGAGGTGGGCAGGCAGGCCGAGCCCCAGATATGCCGCTCAGGGTTTGGAGCAGGCTCTGGCTCTGGAGACCACCTGGAATAATACAGACCGTAATTCATAACAGCCACTGGGCCCCTGCTCCAAGCCAGACTTGGTATGTGTGAACTCCTTCATCCTTATAGCTTCTGGACAAGAGGGGCACTCTTGTTACCGCCATGTCACAGATGGTGACACAGGGACAAAGACAGGCTAATTGAATGCAGATCAGGGTGGAAGGCAGCCAGCCCTACAGGTGTTAGAGGACGTGGTGTCACCTGGTGGATGTCTGGGTCTGAAGGCTCAAGCTGGCTGGGGCAGGTCCCAGTCCTGTGGCAGCTGCTTTTGGCTATGGGATCCCACCGGCTGTAGTCTGGATGCCTGGGGATGGGGAGAGGAGGGCTCACTGCAGAAGGCTTTGTTGGGAGTAGGGTAGGGTCTGTGACCATGGATTGGAGAGCTGTTCCTCCATCACAAAGGATAAGACTCCTGGCTGTGGTACCCTTGACCCAAGTGCAGAGGTGGGAGCAGAGTTGGCACAGTCGAACCCTGGCTCCAGGGAAGACTTCGGCTGGTGCTCTTAAGCATCTGTATTATTAGTGTGTGAAGGAAAAGAACCTTTCATCTTTGAGAACTGTCATCTTCAGTCATCAGACTGTCTTTGAAAGACTTCGACATTCCTTTTTATGCAATTTGCATGAAATGAGGTTTTGAAATATAATGTGTTTTAAAATGCACTTTGCAGATGAGTTAATGTGTATTTTTTAGTGGAGGCTTAACTAAAAATTCCCACTGATGGCGGTTTCCAGTGGTCTGAAGGTTGGCACTCCCTGGGTTTGAGATCTTGCAAGTGAAATGCTTGCATGCAGACAAGAGAGCATCCCTGCTCATTAGGTGAGCTGTGTATGGCATATCTTTTCTTTCTGCTGGATCGACAAGGGACAAATGCTGAATTTTTTTTTTAAATAAAAGGGAGTCAACAGGATTGAAGGTATAAATGGACTGAATCATATGACTCTAAAGAAAGATGAATAACCATTTTTTAAAGTACAAGGTAATAGAATAAAAAACTGGATTGTCTTCCTTCTCCTGTATTCACTTGTATGCTTAAGGAAGACAGTTCTGTTCCTCTGAATGAGGAGGCATCCAGCATCAAAAAGGGGGCATTGCAGAGAAAAGTCCTGGCCTTCTGGTCCAGTGGTGACACATAATTATACCTTATTAAACCGGGTAGGGAAGTTTTGCCCTGGGGAGAGTAGATAAGCCATTATTGGGAAGCCAATCAGCCACAAAATGCACCTCGTGTTTTTCCTTAATTACAGATATTTGTGTCATTTTACACTGCACATTGTTTGGAGAGGCTAAGGCAGGCCTCTGAACTGAACTTGAATGGCAGTTGCCTGGAGCCAAGAGGTGATTGGGTAGACGTATTTTCCTGATTGCCTGGTGGGGCTCCCCTTCCTTCCAGCTGCTTCTCTGCTCTTGGGGCCGGGGATGCACACTCAGTGATGCTCTGAGGCCTCAGGTACAGGTCTGGTCTTCAGGGGACCTGAGCTTGGGGTGGGCTTGCACTTGGGCTCACGTGCCTTGTGCAGATTTGCTTATTTAGAAACTGGAGATGTTCTGTTGTGTGAAGGTTGTGTTCTGTCCATACTGCTCTGAGGCCATTAACCCGTTCAGCTGGGAACTTGCTTCCCTCCAGGAGTGTGGCACCAGGAAAGGGCCACCTGTGGTCTGGAATGGTTTACGTGCCTCTTCATGTCTTAGCTGAGCTGACGGCCTTGGTGAGAACTCTTCCGGGCCCCACAGACCAATGGACACTGTGTTCATAATTGTTTCCTCATATGTTGATGGCAATGAGGTCAAAATGAATTTGCTTTAGAGAGCTGGAGGAGAATGAACAAAGAGGACCTCAGTCTATAGGTAAGAAAATCAACCAGCGAGGTGGGAAGTTGAGGAGAAATAAAGATGGGTCCATTGTAAGAGAGCAAGCAGAATACTTACTCCTAGAGGACGCCGGGCTGCCCAGGCGAGATCCTGAAGCTAGATACTTTTTAGAAGAGTGAAGAAGTAGAGGACCTTGCCTCATCCATAGAGAGAACCCGAGTCTTCACAGTATCTTGACATTCCATTACTTTCCCCTTATTACGATAATAACCAATTGTCAAAAGCAATCTAAAAATCTTACCAAAAAAATACAATCATTGTTGCCATTTTGGTGTGTATCTTTCCAGGCTTCCATTATTTACGCACACTAAAAAAAGTAGTTTTCATGGCTACATAATATTGAGGTGGACTCATGCATTTGACCAGCCTCCTCCTGCTGGACATTTGGGTTCTTTCCTTTTCTTCTCAATTCAGTAACAGACGTGATGGTTGGGCGGGTAGGCATCTCTGCCTGGAGGCTTTACCCGTCCGTTGGCCTGCAGATCCACGGCTGCAGACGCTTGTGCAGTCCTGCAGAGCGTGCACACCTGTGGTGCGCATTCGAAGGAAAACCACCCTCAGGTTATGCCTGGAAGGGGATGTGCATTGGGTCGTGTAGTTCAGCTGCGATTGCAGTTGGCTGTGATCTTTGTGGGTTTGCAAAGCCCTGATGTGCCCAGTCCTCTTCCAGGAAAACCCTTCCCAGATGACCTGGGAGATCCCTCCTAGCAGTTACCATTGCTTCTAACAAGGCAGCTTGGTAAGGCTGGGCAAAATACCTTCCGAAGGCCAGCTATGGAAAGCAAACAGAAAGGAAATTCCTCTTGATCAATTTACATTACAAAAATATTAAGCCAAGGAGCTTTCCTTGGTGTAGCTACCCATGCAGATGGAAAAGGGAGCAAGCCATTGTGCAGGTCATTGCGATGTCATGGAGGCAGCCAAAATTTCTGAAGCTGGCATCTTGTGCTGAGAGGACGGGTTGAGAAAGTGGTAGAATGTGTGGTCAAAATGGAATAAAAATAAATCTCCTGGCATGAAGATTTCCCTCTCTCTCTGAGGGCAGTGCCTATCACCCCTGGCTGCAGCGGGGACCCCCGCACCTTTGATGTTCAAGGCGTGTGGAAGCCCCCAGAGGCCTTAGGAATGGGTCTTTCCTGTTTGGGGAGCGTCTGCTGGAGCCCAGATTGTCAAAAGCTAAATCACGTCCATTTTTTCTGCCAGCAAATATTTGCGGATTCAACTTCATCATTTATGCATTGGTTTCACCTCTGCATTACAAGGCAGGCTTCTGTCTACTAAAATCTTGTCAGAGAAGGTCCCAGAACACTCATGTGCTTTTGTGTTTGCGCGTTGGTCTAGTGGTGTACGGCTAAAACTGAATTCACACACATTTTATAAGGCGCTTATGCATTTCATCATCTGTATGTTTTAAACTATTGTGCGTCCCTAAACAGCAGGCAGTGAGGCAAGACCCAGAACCCAGGTCCTCTGATCAGACTCGTTCTATGTTGTCCATATGTGTTGCGTGAACTCTCAGTAGTCTGTCTATGGCCATGAATAACCCAAACATCCTTCTCTCACCTTTGGTGTTTGGTTCTGAGCTGTGTCCTAATTTCTGCCCTGTAGCTGATAGTCTGGGATGCCATGAGGGAAGAATGTGAAGAAGACCCAGTAGGAGGCATATAAGCTACCGGATACTACCTACCAATTAGCCAGTGCTTTTTATAGGCCAGGTGCTGTGCTTAGTACTTCATAGAAGCTACCATATTTATTTTCACTTTACATATGAGGGAATCAAGCCTCAGAGAGATGAAGTAACCTGCTCAGGATCACACAGCTGTGTGGTTTGTGCTAGGGTCTGATCCCCATTCTTACCGCAAAGTCCACATCCCTAAACTGTCATGCTGCACTGTGTGCTGAGCAGGAGACTTGTCCCACATACTGTCCCTGTTTGTGTTCATTCTGCCTTGTTTCAAAAACAATTGTGGATAAGACGACACACCCACATCGGATTTTTCCCTTGTTCTCAGGCTCTGTCTCATTCTCCTGTGACCCCTCCTGACTTGGCCCTACTTTCACCATTTTTCCAATGTGGGTGGGTGATGGATGAAGACAGGGTGACACCTGAGCCCAAAGAGACTCCAAGGTCCTGAGGGAGAGTATGTCAGGTACTGCCCTCCACGCTGGTGTTTGCAGAGCTGTTGCTGGTGTGAAGGGCTGCAGAACCCCTCCTGGTTCCTGGCACTAGGCTAGCTCGTTGATCCCACCCATGCTCGGGGGTGACTTTTTCACCCAAGAACAATGCATAACTAATCCAGCCCTGTTTGGGTAGATAGAGCACTCATGTTTGTGAGAAGGACGCTGGGAATACTGTCTAGGGGACTCTTCGGAAAACTGGAAAAACGAAGGCACAATCTAATGACTTCTTTTGTTTCTACTTTAGATGCAGCAGCAAGAGTACTGCTCGCTGAAGTCCAACCTTTCCGCCTTTGCCGTGGGGCTGGGTCGCCTCCTCTGCTATTGGTGGCTGGCCGAGCTGATGGTTCACCTCATGTACATGCACGCCATCTACAGCAGTGCCTCCCTCTTGAGGGCTGTCTCTTGTTGGACCTTAGGTAATTCTGGTGGTTACTGTCAGTAGAACAAGCAGCAGGAGGTAGCTTCAGCCTGAGGCTGGACCGGGGCAGACAGGGTGTGGTTGCCTTGAGCAAACACCCCCGCCCCCACCTTGTTCCTCTAATGGCTGAGGTGATGCCTGGGAGGGGGCTGATGGCTGTGAGGGCCAGGCTCTGTGGTCTGGGACGTGAGGTTGGTAGGAAGCCCTTTTCATAATGGAATTCTCCTGAGCTTGGGGGGGCTGCGAGGGGGGTGGGGGTCTGCACCTTTGTGGTGCCTACTTGACCGGAGACAGCAGGAGACATGGGGGGGGGGCAGCCTTTGAGGGCCTGCGAAGAGGTGATGCTCCAGGACTGAGTTGTTTTGTGGTATTGGTGGTGGTTCTTGCATATGATGCTAAAAAGAAGAATATGCGCTTTAGAGTGGGACGGACATGGGTTTGACTCTCAGCTCCACCAACCCCTGGCGGGCGGCCCGTGGCTGCTTACCAGCCTCTCTGCGTCTCTGTCCTGTGAGATGAGCAGACTTGCTTTTGCAGGGTTGGCTTGAGGGTTAAATGGAAGCAGGAGGGTGAAGGGCTGGGCTGTGTGTATCCCTCTGTTGTCCCACCCCCTTTCTGGTCTGTGCTTTTCCTTTATCTGCAGTGGGTGGGATGGAAGTCATCTCCTAAGCAGGACAGTCTCCAGGGTAGGACTTGTCTGGAGAAACCACAACTCTTCATTTCTCTGGCCAAAATTGCAGAGACTGTGCCTCTTTCTGAACAAAATCTCCTCACTTCCTTGTTTGCTCTCCTTTTAAGAACTCCTGTGGTAGCTGAATTCAGCCCTGTGGTCTGACCTCCAGCCTGTAGCTCCCATGGGAAATGTGTGATCTTCCGACCAGATTAAGCAGCTCCCTACGGAGGGCAAGAGTACAAGCCAGACTCCTTATCTGTTCGGTGATTTATAGATTTTTTTTTTAAAAAGTCATGATTGTCCTTGGTGTATCACACAGGCTTAATCAGAAGGTTTTCAAGGAAGATACATACCTTTTGGGATTGGAAAAATACTGAGTTGTTTTAATTAGAACCTCTTTTTACTCCAAACAAATCTTTTTTATAGTTGGGGGGACAAGTTTTTAATGATATGTTTAGACAAATAGAATAGGAGGAAACGATGACATGCTAAATTAGATCCCAGTTGTAGTGCTTCCAAATTAAGAGACCATTAGTTTGAGTGATTTTAACTATGAATAACAACAAGCACCACTCAAAATGGGGTTCAAACTGTAGGGAAAAACTTATCTTCTAAGGTCATCAGCAGGTGACTCAGAAAAATCATTAGTGATCCATTTGGGGATCTGTCACTCCACTTCAGAATCTTGGGGCGCCTGGATGGCTCAGTGGTTAAGCGTCTGCCTTTGGCTCAGGTCATGATCCCAGGGTCCTGGGATCAAGCCCCTCAGTGGGCTCCCTGCTCAGTGGGAAGCCTGCTTCTCCCTCTGCCACTCCCGCTTGTGTTCTTCTCTCTCTGTGTCTCTCTGTCAAATAAATAAATAAAATCTTAAAAAAAAAAAAGAAGAATTAACCAGAATCCTAGAAGCCTTTTGTTTATAGTGACAACCCATCACCTATCACCTGCTCCTGAGTTTTGGTTTTGTCATTCCCATTTTTTTATCTTAAAAAAACCCAAAACCTTTGTTTTTAGAGCAGTTCTACATTTACAGAGGAATGAAGAGGAAAGTGTAGGCATAGCTGCCCCCACTAGCAATATCCCCACGAGGGCAGTGCATTTGTCATAACTGATGAACCTAGGTCAACCCATCATTATCACCTGAAGTCCATCATTTACATTAGGGTTTACTCTTGGTGTTTTTTTGTACAGTGGGTGGGTTTTGACAGATGTGGAACGACAAGTATCCACCACTACAATGCCACAGAGAGTTTCATAGCCCTGAAATTCCTCAGTGCTCTCTCTGTTCATCCCTCCTCCCCCTCTCACCCCTGGAACTGTTGATCTGTTTACCACCTTCATAGTTTTGCCTTTTCCAGCATGTCATATAATTGGAATCACACAGTATGTAGCTTTTCCAGGTTGACCTCTTTTACTTAGTACTATTATGCATTCAAGGTTCCTCCACGTCTTTTCATGGCTTCATAGCTCATTTACTTTTAGTGCTGAATGATCCATTGTCTAGAATGCACCACAGTTTGTCCACCGGAAGCCATCTTAGTTGCTTCTAGGTTTTACAATCATGAATAAAGATGCTACAAACATCTGTGTGCAGGTTTTTATGTGGATATGAGTTTAAACTCCTCTGACTAGATACTAAGGAGTGCAATTGCTGGATTGGATGGTAAGAGTATGTTTATTTTTGTAAAAAAACTGCCCTATTATTTTCCAAAGTGGCTGTATCATTTTGCATTCCCACCAGTAATGAGCGATTTCCTGTTGCTCCACATTCTGGTCCGCATTTGGTGTTGTCACTGTTTTGGATTTTGGCTCCTGTAATAGGTAGAGAGTAGTATCTCCTTGTTGTAATTTGCAATTCTCTAGTGATAGTCGATGTGGAGCATTTTTTCAATGCTTATTTGCCATCGACATATCTTTTCATGCTATTTGTTCAGGTCTTTTGCCCATTTTTAAGTTAGGTTTTTCATTTTATTATTATTAAGTTTCAATGGTTCTTTGTGTATTTTAGATAATAGGCCTTTATCAAATGTATCTTTTGCATATATTTTCTCCTAGTCTGTGGCTTGTCTTCAAATTCTATTGACAGTGTCTTTCACAAAACAAAAATTAAGAAATTGATAAGCAAATGCAGCTTATCAGTTCCTTCCATCATGGATTATGCCCTTGGTGTTACATCTGAACAGGCATTGCCACATCCAGGGTCAGCTAGATTTTCTCCTACGTTGTCTTCCAGGAGTTTTATAGTGTTGCACTTTACAGTTAGATCTATACTCCATTTTCAGTTAACTTTTGGAAGGGTAAAAATCTGTGTCTACATTTTTAATTTTTTTTATTTTTTGGCATGTGGATATCCAGTTGTTCCAGCACCATTTATTGAGACTATCTTTGCTCACATTGTGTTGTATTTGCTCCTTTGTCAGAGATTGACACTATTTCCGGGGTCTATTTCTGGGCACTCTGTTCTGTTGTGTTCATCTTTTTATTTTTCCACAGTGTCACACTGTCTTGTTACTGTAGCTTTATACTAAGTCTTTAAGTCAGATAGTGTCAGTCTTCTGACTTCGCTTTTCTCCTTTTATATTGTGCTCATTATTCTGGGTCTTTTACCTCTCCATGTAAACTTTAGAATCAGTTTATTCATATCCACAAAATAACTTGCTAGGATTTTGATTTGGATTACACTGAAGCTTTGGATTAATTAGGGTAGAACTGGTATTTTAACAATTTTGAATCTTATCATGGGATACCTCTCCATTTAATTAGCTCTTCTTTGTTTCAACAGAGTTTTATAGTTTTATTTATGTTTAGCTTGTACATATTTGTTAGATTATACCTAAATATTTATTTTTTGGTGCTAATGCATATGGTATTGTTTTTGATTTCAAAAGTTTTTTTTTTTTTAAAGACTTTTTATTTATTCATTTGAGAGACAGAGCTCGAGCAAGAGCATGAGGGGTAGTGGGGGGGTTGGGTAGGGCCAGAGGGAGAGGGAGAAGCAGACTCCCTGCTGAGCAGAGAACCCACCGTGGGGCTTGATCCCAGGACCCTGGGATCATGACCTGAGCTGAAGGCAGATGCTTAACCAAAGAAGCCACTGAGGCGCACCTGTTTTTAATTTCAAATTCCACATGTTCACTGATGATATATAGGAAGGTGACTGACTTTGGTCTGTTAACCTTGTATCCTGCAACCTTGCTGCTACTGCTTATTAGTTCCAGGAAGTTTTGTTGTTGTCTTTGTTCACTCTGGAATTTGCAACATTGACAATTACTTCATCTGCAAATAAAAATTTCCTCCTTCCCAAAGTGTATACCTTTTGTTTCATTTTCTTCTCTTATTGTATTAGCTAGGACTTCCAGTATGATATTGAAAAGGAGTGATCAGAGAAGACATGCTTGCCTTTTTCCTGATCTTAGTGGGAAAGCTTCTGGTTTCTCACCATTAAGTACGATGGTAGCTGTAGATTTTTTGCAGATGCTTTTTATGAAGTTGAGGAAATTCCCCTCTATTCTTAGTTTGCTGAGAGTTTTTATCATGAATGGGTGTTGGATTTTGTCAAAGTATTTTTTGTTTTGTTTTAGTTTTTTTTGCATATGTTGATATGATTATGTGTTTTTTTTTCTTTTTTGGTCTTTGGATGTGATGGATTATATTAATTGATTTTCAGATATTGAACTAGCCTTGTATAGTTGGGATAAATCTTACTTGTCATGGCGTATAATTGTTTTTATATATTCCTGGATTTCATTTGTTAATTCTTTTTATTACAATATTATTGACTATATTCCCTATGCTATACTTTACCTGTGACATATTTAGTAACTGAAATTTTGTACTTCTTGATCCCCTAATTTGCTAATATATCATTGAGGATTTGTGCATCTGTGTTCATTACAGATATTGGTCTATAGTTTTCTTGTAATGTTTTTGTCTGATTTTGGTGTTAGGATAATGCTGACCTCATAGAATGAGTTAGGAAGTATTTCCTCTATTTAAATATTCTGGAAGAGATTATAGAGTATTGGTATAATATCTTCCTTAAATGTTTTTCCGTTTTGGAAGGTTATTAATCATTGCATCAATTTTTTTATAGGTATAAGCCTATTCATATTATCTATTCCTGTGTGAATTGGCAGATTTTATCTTTCAAGGAATTGGTTCTTTTTATCTAAGTTATCGAATTTGTGGGTGCAGAGTTGTTCATATTATTCCTTTATTATCCTTTTGATCTTCATGGGTTCTGTAGTGATGTCCTTATTTTCATTCTTATATTAATAATATGAGAATTTCTTTTCTTTCTTAACCTAGCTAAGACTTACTGATTTTTA